GGAGGTAGCTAGCAAAATACCGGACCAAAGAATCAAAAGACTTGGTACGAAAGAGCTGCATAGCGTATTCCCAGTGGTTCGAATCCATCAACTTCGGGTTGGCGATGATCTCCAGAGCGAGCGCTTCGAGGGTGTCGTGGAGCTCCTGGAGGCGTTGCTGCCGTCGCTCGGCCAGCAAGCGGTGGAACTCCTCCAGCGTGTCGGCATCGTGGGAGATCTCGTTCACGTCGGCGTGAAAGGCTTGCGGGTCTTGGATGGAAAAGGTGAAGGTGTTGTACTGCTCATGCAGCGAGGAGAATAGATCAGCCCTCTTCAAGCCGAACTTCCAGGCGGGCCATGACCAGCCAGGGTCGTCCATTTCATACAGCGGCTCAAGTGAAGAAGGCTGGAGGAATAAGAGTCGGGGGGGGATCGAGGAGAGACGGGTGCGGGTTCGGGGGGGAGGCGTGTTGTTGTTGCTGTTGCTGTTGCTGATTGCTCAGCGAGCGGTGTCTTCGTGTGTGTTCAAGGTCCCTAAAAGAGACCATTTAGATAGTACTGCCAGAGACAAGGGCCATCGTGAGAAAGTTATTGCGGTAATTTGGTCAACGGAGGTGAACTGGGCTCTCTGGTTCGCGCAGTTGGTGTGATTGAGGATGGTATGTTCGATGGGCAGCCTCTGGGACGGGAACATGCCAGCACCGTCGTCTCGAGAGTCAACACGGGGGATGGCCAGAGTATCCTGTTCGGGCAGCTTGACTAGGGTTGAGCCGATGGCAAAACGACTGCTGCACTATTGCCTAAGGCAAGAACGGACTTGCAATGTGGTTGGTTGAATATATGGGGACTTTAGGGATAGGAAGCACTAGCTCCGTGCTAGTGGCCAATAAGAGCATCCCCTGCTAGCCCCTGTTCCGTAAATGGAACTTTGGTCCATCGAAGGCGACGACCATTCGTAGGGTGCCCCACCTCTCTCCTATGTCATGTGGGGCATGACAACCTCTCAACCAGTCATAGCGCAGCCTTGCGTGAAATCCCTTACCGACTCGCATCCGGTCATCTTGAATTGTAAGACCACGCCCCCCCATCGCATCACTCCCTCAACAGCAATTCTCGAACAGCCTCATTGCCTATTGGTGGTCAGAGGCACCCCCGGGTGTGTATCACGTTATCTTGCAGCCCAAAGTGCAGGCTGATTCGTATGTTGGCCCACATTGAGACCAGGCTGCTTACAGATATGTGGACCCGGCTAATGCTCACTCTCCTCATGTCCAACTATTATTCCAATTCAGCCAGCACCAAAGTCCCAGCCATGTCGGCTTGCCAGGCTATTTATGCAACCACTATGAACCGAGACACGAGTATGCAAAAGATTACATAGGAGAAGTGCACATTACTAATATTGCACTATTTCAAGCAATTATCATGGCTGTGTGAAAGAATGAGGTCAGCAAATGCACCTGTGAAGCAAGTGATGTCACGGGAGCAACATTCGTAGGAAAGCGCTTAATCGTCGGAAGTGCACCCTACGAAAGAGGCGACAGAACAATTAACGAACTCTGTGAGAAACAAGAACAGGTTGTGTGACCAAAGCATAAGAGAGCATGATATGCCTCTCGTGAATGTACAGAAGTATTTGAGACCAAGAAGCCCCCCATGGGTCTCACGATGCGAAAGGTTCTCCCAGTGCAGTCGTGACTAGACCGCTTGACAAGTTGAGAGGAGCGGCCCGGGACGGACTGGCCATGGAGGGGTCACATTGTGTGACTGTGTGACTGTGAGCGCGAGGGCGAGGAGGGAGGCGAGAAAGTGGCAGCGAGGGGAAGCCAACAGAAAAGCAGCGCCTGCGCCTCATGGTGCCGTGGCGGTGCAAGCTCCAATTTTGGGCGACGAAATCTGCCTTTGGCTAGGACACGGCCCGCGCCAGACCGCCCGTTCGAACAAATTGCATTGAACGAACTGGGCATTGTAAATCCCGCTGAATCGTGGCCTGTTTCCACCAAAGGACCAAAATCAGTGCAATTAATAGAAGCTAGGGAACCAGCGGCTGGGAGCTATTGGACCACCCCAGAGCATGCTGCGTCCATTTGATAATCTGGTACTTGGATCTCAGCACGAGACCCTAGTGAATTGCATGTAGCGCCCTGACATGCCCACAAGGCACCCGCGTGCCCCTCTCCAGGTCGTTTACTGTCTTCTGCCTGCTCTCCCATGCCCGTGAGCTCGATGACTCTCAACGGAGGCTGAGAGGCCGTCAGCAGGCCACACAGCATCTGCCCTATCTGCTTGCGCATCTGACTATTCTGTCCCGTCGAATCTGTCTTCCTCTCTTGAATACTTCATTGATTTGGCGTCCGGTTCCTGCAGCTCATCGGCCGGGATACAGACCAGTCCTAGCCATATCTTATCACCCCATCCACCCCATTTCCTCCCCCCTTCCCCAGCTGGCTCCCATTGAGTCAGACATCCATCAGATACCCCCGCGGCTTCTGCCTTGCGCTCGCTCGCCTGCACAAATAGCTTTGTGCCAACAGTCGCGCGCCAGCAGCGACTCATACCCAAACTCCCAATCACCGCCCACCAGCCGTAATACCTCGTTGTTTGTACATTGGTGCCTCATGGGCCGTTAAGGCAGCATTTCCTTATGGTCGAATACAGAGCCGAGCCCGTCGAGGCTTCGGAGGAACGGACGGAGCCTATTTCGCAATCTGAGATGGACATTTTCATCCGGAGCATGGGGATGGAGGAGCAACCCGATCCTCCGCCGAGCGATTACCAAGTGCCTCTGCACCTCTTGAAGGTCGAGGATCGTCACCGAGAGGAGGGAATTCGTCTCATCTTCCGGCCACTGACCAAGATATCTCCTCGCGCGGTGAGTCCCGGTGGCAGCAACTGCCAGTGGCTAGCTCTGCGCGCCGAGGTCGCCTCAACCGAACAGCCAGAGCACAAGGTTCTCGCCGTCACCCAGACATCCAAGGACATCAAGTTCGGCGTCAGGATCCCTCGTGAGACAAACGATGGCGGCGCCCCGCGGCCAACCCTATGGTGCGAGCTCTACTACGACCCTGCAAGTGACAGCGTCGTCTTCCTGAACAAGTCCGAGGACCCAATCCAACTCGTCTTGGTCTCCCAAACTTACCTGGCCAGCCCGCCAGCCAACGAGGGCCACACCGTCAACCCGGGGTTTCCCTATGAACTGAGACCTGGGACATGGAGAATCAAGGTTCGGCATGTAGCCGTACTTGACTTCAGAGTCCTCGAGAAACGGCCAGTCACCGTCTATGAACGGCAGCCATCTGATTCTCGCGAGCTAGTGCTTTCGTCGCCGTCGTCAAGCTCAGACCAAATCAATGCCAATATTAAGCGGCCTCGAACTCCAGATCGGGACAATATGCGCATCAAGCGCCGGATTTCCGACGGCGTCAACAAGACGGACGACAGCGCGATTGAGTTTATGCGCCCCGGTGCCGCTGACTCACTTGTCTTCTCACTCCCAAACACACGGCAGACCAAGGTGCTTACGTCTAACGCCAGCCACCCTCTGCTAGATGCTGAGAACGGTGAGACCATTGCTGTTTCTGGTGTTTGTGAGCTAGATGAGTATCACATAACCCCGCAGGATCCCATTGCCTCTACGGCGCAATCCAAGGTCTACAGAGGACGCCACTCCCAAGTACCAGACAACATCGTCACGGTCAAGGTCCTCAAAACTCGGATGGCGAAACCCGGAGAAAAGGCTTTTGTCAACGAGCGGAATCTAATCCGGCAGGCCCAAATGTGGGAGCGTGAGTCTCAAACCCAAGAGGGCCTGAACCACGGCTCCATTGTCAAGTATTATGGAGGTGACGCCCGGTTCCTCTCCCTCTACATGGAACATGTCGATGCCCAGGACCTAACCGCGGGACCCCGATGGAGGAGCGTGTCCAATGATGAGTTTCAAGGCAACAGGGAGGACGCAAAGCGAATCCTACTCAACATTGGTGAGGCCCTCAGCTATCTCCATGCCCGCCACGTAGTACACAACGACATCAAGCCCGCCAACATCCTATATTCCCCCGAGCGTGGCGCCGTTCTCTGCGACTTCGGCCTATCAACTGGCACGGCCAAGGAGCCGTCCACGGGTGGTACGCCATACTACGTGCCACCAGAGTTCATCGTGAACAAGTCGCGTGGGCCCCCGGCGGATGTCTGGGCACTGGGTGTGACCATGTTGTACGTGCTGCGCAAGATCCCTCTACCCGACAGCAGGCGCCACGTCAAGGTCCTCTACTGGCAGATCGCGGGCATTCACAACCCCAACATGCCCTTTAGAAAGTACGGCAACGGGCAGGGCGCTGCCTCACAGATGAAGGAGTGGCTCAGGAGGGTCCACGAGACACGCGAGAAGCTCAGTCCGCAGGACCGTCTCGAGCGCATCGTGTCTGAAATGTTGGCTCCGCAGCCTAGCCAACGAATCACCATGGCCAAAATCGTCCAGAGCTTGAATGGGGGGCAGGCCTCCCTTGCTGCCTAAGATGGCGTTGTACCTTGTGTTATACACCTGGCGTTCCGTGTTTGAATTGGCGTTGGAGCCGTTGGGGCTTCTGTTTAATGATTTATATTATGATGCGATTACAGTCGCACCGACACGCGCGCTGGCCGATGGGCCAGCTCAATGGCAGAATACAGGGTGAGAATTTTTCCCACACGAAAAGCGAACTGTTTGAACTGATCACCATGTCAGAAATGGGAACGGGTTGTTATGGTTATGCATCTTTTTTATGCTTTGTTTATTAATGGAATGAGCGAGGAAGGCTCATAATGATATTATACAGCATTTGGTTCAGCATTTATTCACACTTTTTTTCTCGCAGTTTTTATTCGAATACACCTGCACACTCTATACAACAAACGCACACACATATTATATATAGTTATCATGACCATCATCATAGAGTATATTATTGTTCAGATATCATTGATTTTAAAACATTTGCTCCTATAGATTCAAATCCCAACTCCCTTCCAACCTCATAGTACCCTTACATGCCCAGTCCCATAGCAAAGACAACCGCCAATCCAGCGAAGGTGGTCACCGAGAGCATGTTGACACCCAGAACGCTAGCGGCTCCCTTGTCATTGCCGCTCTGTGTGCTGTTGTTGCCGCTGCTGCCGCTACTGTTACCCCCGGTCTGGACGAAGCTGTGCTGCACGGTGTTGTTGCAGGTAGGGGCCTTGGTAGCATTGGCCGTGAAGCGGATGTCGGCGCAATTGTACAGAGCGCTTCCCGTGTCACCGACAGTGACGACCTGGAGGGTGCCCACGGCGCCCTGGGTGACGTTGCTGTTGTCGGGCAGGCGGATATCGTCCAGGCAGAGCAGGCCCTTGCCGGTGGTGTTCATGAGCTGGTGGTGCGTGAGGGTGATGTTGAAGTCGGTCGTGTTCTCTCCAAGACCGAGGTTCAGGAAGACGTAGGTCCAGGCGTGGTGAAGGTCAAGCTGGATGGATCCTCCTTCCAGAGGCCATTCGGTGATATTGCCCGATCCGAAATCGGCACCGGCGCCTAGGTACATATCAGCAATGAGAACTTTGTCAGAGTACGCGGAGGTGCCTCGTACAAGGATATGTCCATTGGGACAGAGTAGAGTCTTCAGGAGCATTGAGTGTATCGGCTCGCCACTCTGGGTAGACGAGTCCATAGTGAGCAGCAGCTATCTGGGCCGAGGCCAGGGCGAGAGCAGTCTTGAACATCATATTGATAGAGTGTATCTGGGTTTGCTGAGCTACTCTGGGAAACAATTGACAAGCACACAAGGTAAGAAGGATAGGATCACCCTCCAGCAAGACAAGCAGAAGCGGAGGAGAACATCTTTATAGCTTTTCAAACTTATCCAAATAGGAAGGGAGAGAGCTTATCCGGCTTTAGGTTAAAGCAGGTGGTAACTCGCCAGACAACGCAAGCGATGGAGGGTGGGCTGCGCGAGTTTTTCCCCAGCCGCCTCTACCTTGGCTGGTTTCAGCTTCAAGCCTCTTATGCCGGTGTGAAGATACCAGTGCTACATGGATGCCTGTCTTGGAGGGAAACCATCACTGCGGTGCATGGAGGGTAACAATCAACTGCCCCGAGATCCAAAGAGATTCAGGGAACCTCAAGGCACTATTGGAGCAGAGAGGGGCAGCATCCGGAGAGCTAGCGGGGGTGGAGCCACTAGGGACCGATGCTTTCCTCCTCGTAGGGCTTCCATTCAACATAAGCTTGTTCTTTTACTTTGACTTCCAGGAACCTACTCCAACATCAAGGGCCAACGTATCCCACTGAAGCGCCACAAAATACTCTAGGGACTACTCAAGATGCGAAGGAGAGATACCTTTCATAATAAGATCTACTTGGGGCATAATATGCACATCCCTGGCCTTTTCCTGTGTCACCACCATGCCTCCATCGTGCCGGCCACCGGAGGAGTGGGAAAACTTGCTCAAATGGCCGCACGACCAAATCCGCCGCCCAAACTAGCAATTCAGAGGGACTTGCCAAGAGCGAATGAAATCTTGCTCACCCAGGAACGGACTGTTGAATTCCATGGCTGATAACCAAGCCACAGGATCTGTTTTTTTTCGCGCGTGGTATTTCCAACGGGGTCGTGAAACATTTGATGTCACTCTTCTCCGAACGGTGGCCCAGTAGTAGTAACGACTCAACGGCCCTTTTCGATGCCGTGCCACGCGAAGGAGAGCCAATTGGGTTTAGCAAGGTATGATAAACCTCATCGTAGTAGTTTTTCGTCATAGGTAGGACACTGCGATGAGGGCCATGGCTTTGGTAGCCCACCCTCCCATTCGATTGAATGTCCCAAAGCCGCCTTCCAGCCTTCAAGCTAGGAAAATGATCGGATTTTCTCAAGTCGGGAGACTTGAAAAACTAATTCAGCAGGGTTGGCTAGAAGATAATTCCCTGATTGCCAAATACACCTCGTTGCTTTGGTTTGCTCAATCGATGAGGACCCTCGAAAACCCGAGTACGTACCTACCTGGGTGCTTGCCAAATAGATTTGCCCATGCCACTATATACTGAAGCGAACATGATCCATCTCGCTCGAATCTGGCTTGGAATATTTGGAATTTGAATATGTAATGAGGCAATAAACTAGGTAGCTACCTAGCCAATCCATGAGATTTTTCAAGGAGACAGACTATGTTACACGACGATCGCTGGACAAAGTCTTCAAATCGAGCCAACTAGGAAAATGAGCTATTTCGGGTATCATTGACTAAAACGTTCAAAATTGTTTCATTGACTTGAAATGATTTCAAAATAACATGCTTGTTAAAACTCTGAAATAAAGGCGCTAATGCATTGAGGTTGAAGAAAAGTAACTTAGTTACGATCGCATAGGTAGTTTACTAACGCTTTCTTTATAATTGAAGTTGTAAGCATCCTATATTTGATAATTTCGTTTATCCCAGTATGATGTTTGTATGAAAGCAATAATAATCAATTTTAGTATCATCTATTACTACCTAGGTATGAATTGCCCTGATTCGTGATCGAGTCTAGGGTAGGTAAACAGCTTAGTCATAATCCTAGAACTCAGCTCAAGGCAAAGTTTAGCGAAGAACATCATCCAACTCCCATCCTCAACTAAGTCTTCTTCTGTACAATCGATAAATTGATCATGGACCCCGGACGACGTGCTATGCTCGAGGGCCGAAGGTCGCCCGTAAAGCGCGATGTCACCGGACCAAGGCATGACCCAAGTACGCGCATTACCAAACCTTCAAGATCTGATCGACCCAAGCCAGCCAACAACAATAATAGTTCCAAGTACTTGACGCAAGACGAGCAAGAGCGCCAATTTATCGCAGACGAGGATAAATTCGTTCTCAAGCAATCGAAGAAGAAGGCCGATATTCGCGTTCGCGAAGGGCGAGCAAAGCCGATCGATTTCCTTGCTTTCAACCTAAAATACATCGACACCGAACGCGATGTTTTCGACGATGACGATGACGACCTCGATATCGATATTCCGTCGCCCGATGCAGTTGTGCAGAGTTTGACTGAAGCGCAGATCTCCGAATTGGAGAATGAGATATCTTCATACCACGTTCTCGAAAGCAACGCCAAAAACCGAGAATACTGGGAAGCACTGAAGTCGCTGTGTTCTGTGCAGAAGGCAAAGCTCCGCCCTGCAAGGAACGAAGAGAGAGTCGTGAGCAGTGTGGCTGATGACATTGATAAGATCCTTGCCCCGAAGACCTATGAACAGCTAGGAGCCCTGGAGAAACAGATAAAAGCAAAGCTTAAGAGCAACGAGGACATCGACACGGATTATTGGGAGCAGCTTTTGCGTAGTCTGGCGGTTTGGAAGGCCAAGGCTATTCTTGGAAAGCTATACGAAGAGATTGCGGAGAACCGTCAGAAACTCCTCAAAGAACGTGGACCCAGAAAGGCTTCAGGAACAGGCCCGCGCCAAAACGAGGCCATTGAAGCGAACAGATCAAGCGAGGTAGCTGCCACAAGCCATAGACCCGGAGCTCAAGGGTCCACGTCCGCAGCTGAGAGCTCGCAGCCTCCCCTTGGCACTGGACGCTTTTCACAAACGGACAACGCAGACTATTCGCAAGCTTCTGACGCCTTGTATGACCGAGAGGTCGCCCGCGGTGTCTCCGAGAATGAAGAGGTTTTCACGGCCGAGGAGGCAGTCGTAAGTGCATCCAAGCCCCAATGGGCTGACAAGTATCGCCCACGAAAGCCCAAGTATTTCAATCGAGTCCAGATGGGATATGAATGGAACAAGTACAACCAGACTCACTACGACCACGACAATCCACCGCCCAAGGTTGTTCAAGGATACAAATTCAATATCTTTTACCCAGAACTCATCGATAAGACTAAAGCACCCACCTTCAAGATCATCCGCGAGCACGGCCGCAGACGGGGAGAATCATTCGCGGCCGCAGGTGAGGACGATACCTGCTTGATTCGGTTTATTGCGGGCCCTCCGTATGAGGACGTAGCCTTCCGAATCGTGGATCGCGAATGGGACTACAGTGCCAAGAGGGAGCGCGGCTTCCGGAGCTCTTTTGACAAGGTAAGGCCGCCTGATCTTGCCCTTTACTCAGTGGAAAAACATTGTCTCACCCACTTAATAGGGTATCTTACAGCTGCACTTTCAGTTCAAGAAGGTATGTTGCACCTGTAGCAAACTCATGATCTTCCAGGAGACCAACAAGGCGCTAACTATGGTTTCACAGATTTTCTACAGAAAATAACGTGGTGCCCTGGCACTTGCACTGTCATTTTTGGATCTGCCTTGGTAGATGCCTTGGGATGGGACCTCAAAGGGCTCGAGGAAGGACTTTGCAAGGGATTTTTTTCATTGGGTCGCCAAAGCATTGCAACTAAGAACAGCGATAGGCTCTTTACATTTGCGTGACCACTGACGTGTCACTACTGTCTCCCTGCATCGTCGCGGACGATTTTCTCTTGTGTAGCCGTGGAACGCTCCTAGCTAGCTATTGATAGGACCAGCACTTCCCCATCGCCACGCTCGGAAGCTGACCTTACCCACAGCTGCATGCATGTCGGCAAGTAGGCATATGCCTGCCATGCGGTGAGTAGGCTGGGTACGCCGAGACGAGACGAGATGCCTGCAAGGAACGGTGACGGCCCCATTCCCTTCCACATGGCGGTTACGTGGTAGCTCGCAACCATGGGTATGTCTTCTGGAACGCAGCCTATCCTGGAAGGGCTTGAGGAAGCACAAGCCTAAATGCATGTCGGGAACTTGAGTCTAAGGATTTGACGACTACCACGTACGCATGGTAGGCTGCTTGCAGAACGCGCGTAGGCCGGATGGGCATTGCAGCTCGATGTTCAAGCCTTGTTTTCCCTTATCATCCCTCTCCAGTCTCAGAAACCGACGGCAGCGGCTTGCCTGTCCCATCATAGGCAGTTATCAATAGTATCATTACTCGCCATTTGGAACCATGATGGCCCCCCTGCTTGTGCTATTCCCCTGACCGTCCAATGATGGGAAATCTTTCCCCCTTGTTATCCTGGATACACGTGGGTGCTGGGACCTGCTTGGTGTTGCCACAAGGCTGCAGGATGCCGTTCCATTGGGTCTGCAGCTAACCCGCCATTGAGCAACCTTTGTAGTTACGTACGGCCTGAGTGACATACATTGGACTTGTAGCTACTTGGTTCTAAGTGGAAAGCCCAGCTTGCGTATCTTCTCGTCTAGGAGCGTTAACTTGAATTCTGCGTAGGCTTAAGTGCTCGCCAGGCTTCCACTTGGATGGAACCAACTCAGACAAAAACCATGGGCTTCAGTAGAAATAGCATGACAGCTTCTCAGGGACAAAGTTCCCCATTTTTGGCACGGTAACGTTGGCGTTGTACGAAACCTGACATGTGGGTATGAAGGTCTGAGTGTTCGTCGTCCACGCTCCTCCCTCCTCTCGGCAAGTCTCTGACCTTCCACACCCATGTTTGTAAAGCGGTGTCGGATCAGCGAGGTTGCAGATACATCCCTATCTAGGCTAGGAAGGGAAGGAATCCAGCAAAGGCCACGGCCCCTCTCCCGCATGCGATAACGGCTTGTCGGGGTTCGTTACTGTTTGCTCTGCCGCTGCCGAACGGTGAAGATACTCTCATCAGCTGGTAGAAGAGGGGCATTGAGATGAAGACAAGGAAGAAGAACCATACAGCCATATAGAGACAGATGATTTATCGTAGAAGATGCGTCACCGAT